GCCCGTTTGCCTCCTGTTCTATAAAAAAAGTGAATCTTTGGTTTTCTTTTCCTTCTTGATATCAAAAAGAAATTGAATCGGCACGTAAAGGATAACTGTATAGCATAGTAATATACGATATACCATTTCATAATAATGACGCAAATATAATCTATTTAACTCCAACATGCCAATGAACTAATAAAACTAGACGAGCGGCATTACATCGTATGCAATTATATAAGAACAAGTCGAAGGCACTTGCTAGATGCGGCTGATAGTGATTGCAAAATTAACAGCCCTAATATTAAACAATATACACGATGTTTTATGTGGTATAATATTGTCTTTGGTTAAGGTAAGTATGTCTAAATAACACCTTTAAATGTACTTAATAATTTAGTGTGCAACATGGTGTAATGGTTGCAGCTCCTTACAGACATTTTGTAAAACAAAAAACTTGGCGATCAAAAAGAGTGGCGAAGAGTTTATTGCCAGTTCTTCTCTTCCGTTCTACGCCCTTGATTTGAGAACTGGCAGTAAATGTAAAATTAAAGCATTTAATATGTGTTTCTTAATTGACGTCAGACGTGTACATTTTGTTACCTAAATGAATAAATGATTTTTAATTTACAACAAAGGCCGGCACTGCTAACTAGCCCAATACTAGCCCACTAATATGAGTGTACGTGGACTGCGGCAGCTGCCTTTTATTCTATTCTGTTCTGGCTGTTTCGTAGGCTCGTTTTCCCCCCTATCATAAAACAAAAGAAATCTTTCGCTGACACAGACAAATATAATCAAATTTAGTTTTTTCGTCAAATATATAAAGCTACTAGTGGACCCCACAGACGTTGTCCTGCATGATATTTAAAGCGATTAGGATATTAAGCAAAGTATGAAAGTACCGAAGGGGGGGAGGGGCGGTGGGCGGGGTTGTTTGTGAGTGGAGTGCCATCTGGCGGGCTCATCTTGTGAGTCTTGGTGAATCTAAACCATTCCCAGATCCTTGAACACACACAAAAATTTCATCAAAATCGGTCCAGTCGTTTGAGGGGAGTTCAGTCACATACACACGCACAGAAGAAATATATATATTAAGATAAAATTGATGATTCATAGAAAATTCGATAAAACCTAAATATGACAAAATCTCAAGAAAAAACATGAAAATATATGCTCCGTCATAAATATTTTATGACAGAGCCTAAACACAAGGAAAACTCTCAAGGCGTGAAAGATTTCTATCCAGTCACGTCAGGCTCGCCATATATTGAAAAATTAAATATATTTTATCAAAAATAACTGTGGGCAAGTCATAGAACACAAACTTTGTATTTTTATTGTTTTTCTATATATAATATACACTAATGTATGTAAAAGCGCAAAATACTTTGCGGTTATCCAAACACTACGCATACTGAATAATAATATAATAAAACCATTCTTTTTAAATTTCCATATCATTTTCCATGTCAAATGTTGTTAGTATGTACCTATTGCTAAATGTTAGTCGTAATATGTAAGTCGCCAGTGGATATGGACCCCTCTTGGGTAAAAGCCTCCTCCAACCCGTTCCAGATGACTATAATTTCCAATAGTCTGCCAGTCTTTTCCTGCCATTTATTTAAAGTCATTAGCCCATTCTTCTTTTCCCATGGTGGTTCCATAGTGTTCTTTAGGTATCGTGTTACATGACCAGCCATTGCCATCTTAGTTTCAAAGTTTGTGATAGTTACTTTAGTTTATTGTCTAATATAATGACTTTTAACTGTGTATCTTTAGTATACTTGTCTCCAAAAGTATGCATACATAAGCTGATTGGAAATCAATTTGTCAAACGCGTGTTACATCTGAATTTGATACGACGAAATGCGAGTATTTATCAAGTATTTAATAATTACTTACATATACGTGACAAAAAGCACTACCGTAATCACATATCTCGATAACGTATGCTAATATGCTCAAACGTCGGAAGTAATCACACACTGTAACCGTACATTTAACGTACGTGCATATAAATTCGTATTGAGGTAGATCAGGAACTTGTTTCGTAGCTAAAACTTGATTAATCAATGCAACTGGTTTCGTTATCACATAAACATATCTTTTAAAAGCGTGACGTAGTCTAACACATATTTTACGTTTGAAATTATTAAAAGAATAATAGTAAAACTGATTCGGTTGTGAATACACAAATATCTAATTTAGTATCATATTTTTTAAATTTAGAACTTTTATTTTTAACCATGAATGAAACATGTTCTTATTTATTATTTGTCTTAAATCTAACATAAACCTTTTTATTATATCAATATTACTAGCGTACAACATTACGTTGGTGTGGGAAGTTTTACGCCTGTCAAGCAAGATTATACACATTAATAGGCAAAATAGATTTTATAAACAGGCAACATTTTTCAGGTTCGTTACTCTTACATTAAATTTAGAATTAATTTTACTTGTGCTATTGTTTCTTTGCTCTTTTTAAGATTTGTGTATTTGTTTTATTTATGATTGTTATAGACAAGCAGATATCGTTCTGTCTGATGCTTGCTCGTTTCGTTACGATGTTTTCCTTTATGAATTAATAAAAATACCAGAGCCAGGAATTAAAGGACCAGCAAGCCCTCTGGAAATGTTAGTGTTTATGGACGGCGGTATCACTTAACATCAGGTGAGCCTCCTGCCCGTTTGCCCCCTGGTATATAAAAAAGTCAGGGCTAAGGGCCACGCCATGCCACTAGGCTGGAACTGGTAAAATTTATGATTAGAAAAATGAAATATCAGAGCCTTAATTATCATATGAATAGGACTTGCTTAGAAACCTAATGAGCCTACCTAATAACCTAAAAGCTTAAACTCAAGGGATTTATTAGTTTCACTATCCGCTTCCTGCCCTCAATACTGCTCTGTGGTTTGTATATTGATTGATATCATATTTAATTTAATTTCAATTTCAAACATTAACAATATGGCTATAGAGTTCTGTTAAATACAATTTACAAAATGTTAGATAAAATATTTTTCGTAAATTTTCAAATTTGGTTTTCAAAAATAAGATTTTATAGTCATGTTTGTATCTTTATATTGTCTGTTCTTTTTTCTTTCTGTTTTAGTAAGTTTATAATTTTGATTAGTATTAATATTAAGATATCTTGGAATATTTTGTATTATCATCATTATTTTTTTATTAGGGTTTGTTTTTTTTAATTTTATTGTTAATATTATTCTTGTGAAAAAAAGTGTAGATAAATAAATAAAATAATTTAAAAAATGATATCCGAAATATTGTTCATAATTTTTCAAATTTAAAGCTTTAAAATAAGATAAACAATGAATTTTAATTAATAAACATTCAAAATGTTACTGTGAAGTTAATCATGAAAATTTTTATAGGAGCGATACAAAGTTAACAATATATAACGTAGACAATAGAGTGCATTGAACCTTACCATCTCGATTTACTATTGCAGGTTGCACGAAGTTCGGATCATGTCAAGATCGCGATTCGAGATAAACATTTTAGGTAAACATATCGTGAGATCTGACTCCATCTCGGGTGACCTTACGTAACGGTATACAAATCGATTTATATCAAAGCGATTCTTTTTTGAACGATACGCATCCAAACGAAGGTGTTGATCGAATTGTTCTACCGATTATCGACAACATCGACCATTCAACTCGTCAGGACGTGACGTCCGGTGGACCACATAGAATCCGAGGATTCCTTGATTTCTCTACCACAATTTCTCCGAACATTGTTGTACAGTTCCACTGAATAAAACGCTCATTAGGCCAGGAGTAATTGTGACTAATTCACCGTATAGTGCCCTCATTTAAGCTTCATTAACGAAATGAATCGCTGTGCAAGCAAATTATAAGTCACCAAAATATAAGGTGAAAGCAAAGGAAAAGTCAAAGAAAGCAATTACGCTCTCGGCAGATAACAGTTTTAAAAGTAAAAGTTAATCAGAACACTCAATGGTAACGTACCAATCGAATGAAAATAATAACGAACAGTGCAAACAGAGATACCATTGTCATAAATAATTGCATTACTTCTACGAAATGCGTCTAGAGACAACATTTTTTGGCAAAGTTAACGCAACTTTTTAGTATGATTGATAGCAGCTCAATTTTGGCCGATTTAGTCTAGTATAGTAAGTGCCGGAGCACGTACAAGAAAGTTTTGTTGTGAGTGAACAGCGTCAACAATCAAGATACGGGTCACTAGAACAGATATAACGATTGCAAGATTTTTATCAAAATTAAACCTCGCAGCGGGTAAATGTAGTAATTGCAGCACAATGTAAACTAACTAGAGAGCTGGAGGAACCGTTACGCTTCGCTTACTAACTACATTCTAGTGTTGGCGTTAACACGTTCATCGATTGTTTTCAACATCAATGAAGATGGTTGTAAATTACGACCGTGCGATAGCAATTATGTATTTCACTTTACGTCTTCAGATTTTAATTATTCCACATATTTATTTGTAGGCAGTGTGTTACTCGCCTTCCTCATTTAAATTTCATGTTCTTTATTCAAATATAAAAAACGACGGGTCTTACTTAGGGTATGTTCCGATATACACTGCGAGTACTGTATAGTGCTCCCACTGTTCAAAATTCGTTCCGCTATGGACTGCCAGTATACAGCCGAGCGTCCTAGGGAAATATATACTACAATCCCGCTATACTTCTATGCGAGATGGCGTTTTCGAGGTAAGGTACTGAGTGCTTTGATCACGTGATCAATCAAAACCACTTGAATGCCTAACGGCTGATATAACTTACAGTTTAATAACAAACATTTAAAATTCTAATTAAAAAATACTTACTTTCTTTGTAGTATTAATTCAATTGACAGTTAATATACGTACATAATATAGATTTTTTTAATGCGATAATACTCAAAATAGTTTTTCTTTTGAATTAAAAATTTGATGCACTCATTTGAAAACTGTGTGAAAAACGAAGCTGAAGTATATAGTTCGTTTAAATTGTAACATAATGGTGAGAAACGTTTAATATAAAAGGTATGTTCCTGTGTATTTGAAATGCTGTTAACCAATTACAATCAATCTACGCGACCTAGCATTCCTTTTTTAAAATATCATTTTAAATCCACGATAAATTTTACTAATAACTTTTCTTCCTCACGTTTAATGTAACCCCCGAAGAAAAATGTTGATCGCAAAAGATCAAAGAGCTCGAGTTCAATCAGAGGACATAGTTGGAAAGATTCTCAGAGGGGAGATGAATGGTACCTCGTTCGGACCGACATCTTTCCCATCATTGTGTCGATAATTAATAACCATGGCTGCAGGTTTTGATGGCTTCATATATTTCTAACATCATTATGAGAAAAAGTAACATGCCTTACCAATTTATATTTAGATATCTTGGTCTAAATATTTATTTATTTTTAAAATACTTATATAAATAATCATATACAGAGCAGTGACCTCTTACAGGATATTAAAATTGTCGTCCCTCATACTCATTCCCTAGGTCTAAAGTCAGCAATATTTTCCAAATTCCTTCTGCAAAAACCAACCTAGAAGTTCAGGCACCTCTCTTTCGAATTCTTCGCGATTTAACGGATTGAACGGTGCTTATTCGGAGAATATATTCGGTAGTGGCCTGATCGGTTTTAGAGAAAGCATTGTTGGGTGCCTATCTCGAACCTAATTTTTTTTTCTGCTTTACAAAAAATTTCTGGTAATTTTATTGTATGCTTATTTTATCTTGTATATATTTTAATTGTATTTTTAGTATATATTTTTTGTATCACTTATGTTTACTTCAATTGTCATACATTTTAGATGGAAGATTTTCTAAAATATGCCGTAGATGTATGATGTGGTAAACTATAATAAAAAAATTAAAAAAAACATGTATTCCATCGCGTTATATTACTTATACAAAAAAAATTACCCCGCAGATACGCTTGACTTATGCACACGTTAGATTCCCGGTAAATCGTAAATATCTTGCGGTCAGATATTATCAGCTGTATGAAGATTCAAATGGATTTCGGGATTGGCTTAATACACCGAATTGTTACTTGCGTACCTAACGGGAAACGGACGTGCGATTCGAATTGTTTATCTTATATTCTTTTGTTTTTAACTTTATGTAACTTAAAGTTCTATCCAGCGAATTTGTTCGGTTAAAAAGTCATAGAAGATTCAACAGAAGTGACGAAACTGAGTCATTATTTAAGTTCTGTATTAAGTGAAATGTTCGTTTCAGACTGTGCCATTACCAGCCGGCTCGACATCTGTACTGGCGAAACCGACGAAGTACCACTACTATCCTCACAATCAACACATTTATTTGCTGCCTGAATGTGCCATTCAACAGGTAAACTTATTGAAATGCTTCCTGATTTGTACCAACAGATACATTTGCATTTAGGTGACTTCGCTAAACAAATGTCAATATACACGTACCTATAAATTGCAAGTATAGCGATACTAATACAGTATATTTTATAAATAAAAACTCTTATAACTATTAATTCAGGATAATGATTTTAAACGAATAGGACGAATAAATTTTGGCACAGACTGAAGTGTAACTATGTATTATTTAATTAAAAAAAATATCCACAAAAGAGTAAATATACAAATAAATTTGGGAAATAAAAGGGGATTATTTTTTGAATTTAATAATTGATATCATCATCATATAATCATAAATTGTACGTAATATAAATGAGCATGATTTATATAGACTACCTGTTTTAATCTACGTAATATCCTAAACTAATTAAGCTGCAGGCGAAAGGTCTATTAATTTTTCTAATGTATCTGACGTACCGAGGACGACAAATATTCAAATAGATATGTCAAAAAGTTGTGGTCTCAAAATTGTTTCATCTGTATTCATAAATGGACTACATACTTTTTGATCTCTTCATAAAGAACCATAATCTGTTCATACAGAGGTTTGGGACAGGCATACACATCTGTTTCAGTGCAACTAAACAGTCACGATTTGCGCGTAACTATAACTGTCAAAATCCATCTGAGGGATATGGGAACGGATATTTAACTTCAAATTGTTATAGGTGTGTAATGCAGTTTATGTTCGTCTGAATTACACTCAACCACTGTGCGCCTGTCCGGCGAGATACCGGGACCCATGCTCGGCAAGCCTCAACGCCGACGACCTGCATACCACGCGCCTTACCACAGATTCCAAAAAGAAGGTAATTTATCTATGGCTAATGCGATTTGCCCACACAACCAAAGAGGATAAATTTAATTTTATTATGTTCCTTTTTTAATCTTGGCTAGAGACAATATTTTTGAAAATGGAATAATCTAAAAGAATAGGTTAGTATTTTTTAATTTAATTTTAAATGAATTGTTTCGCAGTTAAACACGATAAATTACATTAGTGATCCTTTTTAAAACTTAGAGTTTTTGCTATTATAAATTTTAAAATAAAATTTGAATCATGTCGATATAGTCGTCGTATATTCCTTGACAGTTGAAACGATTTTAATGCAAAAAGCATTAAAACTCAAAAGAAACACATATAAGTCAGGATGTCAGTAACCCAATTTCCTTTGTATTCCTTTTACATAACTCACCTAGCTGATCACAACTACTTGATATAACCTAACGGTTTCCTTCAGAAGCGTCGCTTAACATTGTATAAAGTTGACTAACAGTTATAAATGCAGCAGGCATTTGTTGCAACAATTTTTCAACGTCAAATTGATGTTGTGGGATCATGACATCAATTTCACTGTGTTATTATTGGTAAACTGTTTTCTTTCTTACGAGATAGCGGTAGGCCTATCCAGGGCTGACTCAAAGATTAGCCTAGTTTCAAGAAGTTTACATTTTTCTATAGAATAAGAATATATATTATAAGACGCTGTAAGATGCATAGGTAAAATGCAGTATACAAATTAATGGCTAAAGATTTCTGTTAAGTTACTAGTTTTCCTTATAGGCGTGTAATCAGCGCTGTCTGTGCTCGGATTCGAATCCAGAACATTTTTTTAATAAAATAAAACTCCACCACCACAACCCACGGAAGTAGTAAGAAGCTTTTATAAGGTTGTCCAAATATCTGATAATATAATAGCGTAACTGTGTCTGTAGCATAACTGTGTTAAAAATTGCCTGTTTTAATCACGAGCAAGACAAGTTTTTGCATAACCATAGTCTAACTAGAACAAACAGTTTGCAAATACAAGTTAAGACATAATAACTTAATACACGCACTTCACTATAGTTTCTTAGGTTAACATATATTGTTTCAGTACGCGAAGAAAGCAGTAACATTGGTAAAGACTTGTGAAGCTGTTTCCGAGATGAGAGAGTGCCGTGCCCCTCGGGATTGGTCATTACTTGCTTTGCAAAACATAAGGACTGGAAAATCACACTATTTAGTCATATGCCGGTGTCCGGACACTCACATTCTTGGTAAGGCTTCACTATTATTACTAACGACTTCTTGCGGAAATTTTTGTGAATATATAAAAAAATAAAAATTAACCGCATAATATATTGCTAAGCTCAAAACACGAAGACGGCTGGACCAATGCGAGTATATTTACTTATTCCTTGACCTCTGGTGGGTTTTTATGGTAAAATACTTGAAATTTAGTTTTATTTACAACTTATGTTTTTATTCCGGAAAAGCGAACAGTTATGGAGTAGCATAGCACAATGTTCGATATGTTGGTATGTAGCTACTAAAAAGGTTAGATAAGTAAAAAAACATATTAAGGCGAAACCTAGTTAGTTGTTACTCATAATATGTATAATATTCTAATGGTATAAGATTGATTAAATTTTGACCAATAGTTTCGAGTTTATTTATAACAAATCTTTCCTCTTCATAATATTAGTAGAGATGTAGTAAGTTATTACTGAAAATATTATGAGGACAACATGCCATCTCTTCCAGGCAATTATTATTACTTAAATACTATGGGGAAAATGTAAAATAAAATAAATCAGTGGCGCTACAAAATTTTTAGGTTTGGGTCTCAGATTTATGTATCTGTTTCATAATCACTTCTCAAACTAATAGGAAAGTAGGTGATCCGGCCTTGCGAAGGAATAGCTTGTAATGCAAAAAACTTGTTTCGTTGGACAAATAGTTTTATTAATACTTGTATAAGTTGCAGATTTGTATAAAAACATTTTCCATTACACAATTTTTTTGTTTCAAATTTAATGTTCAAACATTTTGCTTGCTAACATAACTATTACGACTATCTAAAATATTGAGACTCTATATATTTGTAGTTTGCCACGCGTTTATGAAGATGTGATTTTATTGTGTAGTACTTGTTTTAAGCGAAGCTCGAGTGAAGTTTAAGTGAAGCGCATCACATCTGGCCCTTCTATTACTACTTCATAGCGATCACGACCGCTCTGTCAAGAGTGCACCGGATAGGAAGAACTTGTTTTAACCAAATAACACTATGTATTTCCTTTAACGTCTCACTTAAATAGCATACAAATATATAGGAACGTTATTACAAAGTACGCATAAACTGTATATTAAATCGTAGATTAAATCCTTGACAAACGTTTAAAAAGGAAATGACGCAGTTATGTTAATAAGTTAACAGTTATTCTATCCAGGTTAAGATTGTAACAGGATGGTAGCTTATAAGCTTATCAAATGAATTTCATTATCGATTACATTCAATTACGCCAGTTATACTGAAACCTGTATTTACTTGGATTAATTATTCACTACGTACAAATTTGTCCTTTGAATTAATTACTGGACGTATAACGTTTGTAAATCATTTTCGAGAGCAATATAAGTAGCCCCCCAGATCTTGAATTAATTTAAATTACATAGTTTTTTATTGTACGAAAGAAGGTTAAATATTTTTTTTGGTTTTGAACTGTTTTATCAAGTAACTAAAGAGTTTATTTATATAAAACAGGCAGGAGGCTCATCCGGTATTAAGTAATACCGCCGCCCATGGACACTTACACTGCCATGAGGCTCGCTAGTGCGTCGTCGGCCATAAAATATTGGTACGCAATATTCTTAAAGGATCCTAAGTCAAATGATTCGGAAATACTTCAGTGGGCAGCTGGTTCTATATTGGTGGTTCGCGACAAAAACGGTCTTAAAACGCTCAGCCTTGCGATTCTGTAACTCACTTTTCGAACTCACACAGCGGTTTTCACAGCGGCAGTCGTGAAGCAGTCATTTTATGATTTGGCAGGTGGTCAAAAATCTAATTAAGTAAAATTCAACAAGGAAAAGACAATTTAAAAGCTATACCTAAATTATATGCCCTAGCTTCATAATAAAGGAAAAGTTCTTATTGAATTTTTTTATTGTTTTCATTATTATCAACATTCATATTTCACTGAATATATTCAAATTCAAGAACAAAATCTTTATTCATTTAGATAAAACAATGTACACTTGTGAACGTCAATAAAGAAATAAATGCTTCTAATTTTACATTTACTGCCAGTTCTCAAATCAAGGGCGTAGAACGGACGAGAAGAACTGGCAATAAAGTCTCCGCCACTATCTTATGTAGTCTCCAATAAAGGATATATGCATTATGCAATTCAGCGCAGTCACGAGTAAGCCCACGTTGCCGATATTTGGTTCAGCGCCCTTACTCTGTAACTTCCAAAAGCGAAAGCGATACCGATCCCGTTTTATATGAAAATTCGATGTAGTTCTCTCAACATCCGTAGCGCTGATGTCCAAACCTTAGGATCGCGTACAAAAAATACTCATTGGAAACGGTATCTCTATTGGAAGTTACAGAGGAAAGGCTCTTGTTCAGTGCATCATAAATGTTAATTATGCATAACTATAGAAATACCAATGATTCCAAGGAGCAATATAGGTAATTTCTACGATTGAATTAAGTATTGAATTTAGTCATTTGATATCAGTAACTAGAGTGTCTGTAGATAAAAATCTAATTTTATTTTACAGAAGGACCTATGTCACACGACCAGCCAACCTACGCTTCTGTGCCTGGCATCAGAGTTTATGGAATGATGTGTGTGCGGCCTAACACTCTCTACCATTCAGGTATGAATATTAATTATTATATATCGCGTAATATATTTCTTGTATATGTCTAGAAACGTAATAATACTTTACCGTGTAGTAAAGTACATATTCACTATCTCTACGTATCGATTTCCGGTAAACTGATAAATCTCTTCTGGTATTACTCTTTTTAACCATATCTTCAAATTTACAGGCTTCACAAATAGATTCCCAGGCGGAGTATCAAGTACTCCAAGCACATACAAAGTGGACTATTCTCAACCGCACTCCTACGATAAACCTGTTTACAATCGTTTCCAAACTCACAGTTATCCCGACTCAAATTACTACAACAGGCGAACTCGTTCGTCACGTATGAGACGAGAAACAGAATACCCCCCTTTCCCATGGTACAAAGTTATAGAACTAGCTAGATCATTACATTGGATCAATTAAGAGAAACTATTGTTTAGAAAAGGTATGTTGGGTTCAAAGTAGGCCTTGTATTGTGTAAGTGAATTCCGCCTCATTGAATTCAACGACAACTATAGTTAAATAGCTGTTCTATCTCAAGAGGGTGACTGTTGTGAATATAATCGACTCTATTCAGTTCGGGATAAGATTCAAATTCAGATATTATATACCCCTAGCTCATACAATATCTTCGCTGAAACGAATTGAATGGCTGATAACTTTGAGTGTAATGTTAAAAATTATTGGCAGTAAAGGTTTTGTGTTGAAAGCCTTTATTTTAATTGCGCTGAAAATAAGTGAGAATGTTGATTGGTTTAAATAAAATTTTGATAATTAGTAATCTGTATTTTGAAAAAGGAACACTCAAGAGTATCTAAGTCTGTGGTCACTTTCATGAGATGGATGTTTAATATCAAAACGCTTTAGCTTTCATGTACCAGTATATAATAGAAGTTTATTACCTTGAGTCTGTGAAATACTCGTTCATTCTGCATTTAATAGTTATAATAAAAGTAATACTCTTAATGTAAATGGAGTTGAAACACACATACTTTACGTATTGCTCGTAAAAACATTATTGTATTAAAAAATAATTAAAATGCTTTGGCGCCATTTTGCCGATCATTGCTATTGAAGAAAATTGAAACATCGTACATTTAAATTTATTTCTCCGAATTTCGAATGTGCTTCAAAACGGCCACACATTATGATTATTCAAATTTCGAAGACGCTTATTTGGAAATTCGAATCCCGAATGACAGCTTAAAACGTTTAACATACTCCTGCAAATATTTGTATGAAAATTCTTAGTATTGGCATGTTTCATGCGTATTTTATACTTTGTCAAACACAAGGGATAATATCTATATCGTATATTAAAAAAAATCTACTGTAAAGATAAAATGTGTGTTTAAGCTCCATATAAGTATTTGCCAGAATGTTAGAAATACTGCGCAAGTAGATTAATTTAGTATCAAGATTGCCAGGCAGACAACTGATTATTTTAAGATATTAAAATGTACACAAAACAATGTGATAAGTGTTCAGTGCATTTCTATATAATTCGATGCATTTATAGAAAATTAAGATAGATTTAATATTATTTATACTAATCGTATTATACTGTAAATAGTAGAGATAATTGCAATATTTGTAATTACAGACAAATAAATTTGTAACAAAATAAGATGTTTTTAACTATTTGATTTAAAAGAAATTGTCTTCTCTACCCTACCATAGGTAAAACAAATATTCTTAACATTCGAAAATGAAAGACACAGGTCGCATTAGTGCCAAATAAAGAGATCATTAATAATTTTGAAAGAGTAGCCAATTGATTATCATCGTAAATAATGATTTGATCATAAATTTCATTTCAAACATATTTTAAAAATATTTGCTACTTTCATCCTCTATTACGCTTGGGAAATACGACTGACGCTACAACCTTTTAGGTATAACCCTCAGATTTCTGTATCTGTTTCGTGACCAATTCTAATGGGCCATTGACCAAACCTTTTGTGCCTGCGTCGACTTTTTGGGTCTAAGGAATCGTCTCTTCACGATGTTTACCTTCCCATACGAGCGAGTGTTAAATGGGCACACAGAAAGTCCACAGCCAGGAATGGGAGTCGCACCCTAGAGCCACTAGGCCAACACTGCTATACTATGCGCTTTGAAAACCATTCGTTTTACTTCTATTATTAGTGTTATCATATATAAAAATCATTCCCATACACTATAACTAGTTCACAAGTTAAAAATGTTTAAAATTGTATAGTAACTTACCTAATACTTTCTGGTCGACAACGATGTCACAGGAATACATTGCCGCCATCAGTCTTTGAGGCTGCAATTGGAACGCACGTCGACATCCCTCCTTGACAGCTGACATAATTTGACCTGTACATGGAAGATGAACTATCACATATTTGCATATTAGAAATTATCAATCAGTCATCTAAAGTCCCCCGACAGCTTTTAAATGTACGCGATAAACTGAAAAGAACTAACAGTAGCCTGATTTCTAAAGAAAATTTATTGAAAAATAACTATTATTATTGAAGAGGTCCCCAAGAAATCTATGCGTGCGAAGCTGCAGATGGCAGCTTGTTTATAATAAATAAAATGCATTTTTAATTCTAAGACGTCGCACAGGAGGATTAGAATGAATATTTAAAAATCGAATTAAGTCTGTGTCGCTTGTGATTGGTCTAGACGCGTTGACCAATCGACAACCGTCAAGCGACAACCCAGAAAATTTAACCTTTTCTTTCACCTTAAAAACTGCCAGAATAGTAACCATAGATTGACAACTTAACGAGTATTGAATTCTAAAGAATAGTTTGAAGCAAATGAAAATTTCAAGTGTTAACAAATACACGATACAATTGTTATAAATTAAAGATTAATATTTTTAAATTATCGTTTTTAATTTCATTAAACCACAATTTCATTACATATTTTAATTGTCGTCATACAAAATTTAAGTATAACTTACCCGATAATGGTCCAAACGAATGTGTCTCATCGTTTTCGCTTTTATCCAAAATCCATTCTTCAACACAGAAAGCGACACCCATCATAGGTTCCTCACACAAAGGCCCAGCCAATGTTGCCATTTGGAAGCCATTAACAAAACTGCCTTCATATTCAAACCGTGAATCCTCTTTCAGAATTTTCTCATGATGTAAATATTTCGTACTGTAATCCTCAGTTTGGTTCAGAAGCAAATTTGGTCCACAATTTCTAGGCCCAACAGACCAGATTTGTTTAACGATATCTTGCCACTCCGGTCCGAGTTTTGTACAGATATTTTCTAGTTCCGCTATAAATGCTTCTATCAGCTTCAGCATTCTATCAGATAGATTAGACTTTCCATTTATTTGTAGATCTGTGAATTTTGCTTCTATATTCTCGTTGGAAATTCCATGCAAATACTTTATGTGCTGAGAGATCGCTTTTAGTAAGTCTGATGAACGGTCCAATAATTCTGTTATTTCATTGGGAAGCGGTCTCGCTCTGATTTTAATTCTACTCTGCTTGTTATTTGTGTAGATGGTTACAACCGGATCTTGCTCGGTATCATTTCCTTTGTCTATGTTCTGAGAATCGATTTCTTCATTCGCCATATCCATTTTTGGCGGTTCAATAATTGTTTCTTTGAATGGCACTATGGGCTCCGATACAGTTAATGGAATTTTTGCATATAGATTCCTGCAAAAATAGGTGTGAAATGTGGATGAAATTTAATTGCTATACGTTCTGATTAATTTAACATTTTATTCGAGCTTAGGGAATGACAAAAAGTTTTCTTTCAATTTGATAATTGTTTAACTAATTTGTAAAGATAAATATTGTATGATAAGGAGAGTTACAACTGAGTTACAACCATGATACTGAACCTATTCTGATGATATTTTTGATTTCAGATTGTTTGGTTTCACAAGTGACCCGATAGATGGCGTTATACTTCGAAATTATTACATGCGGAATTAAAAATAATTGATCTTACTTCAGGTCTTCAAGACATCTTTGCAAATGAACTTCACCAGCTGTGACAAGCACATGTTCACCTGTCTCTTGAAGCAGAACTTGGACACAGGAGTCCGACTGGTTTAGTAGCCGAAGACCTGGAATGTTTCTTTCATTGGTTACTCGGTCAGAGGTCGGTTTATTTAACCGACTTCAAAAAAACCTTAAATGTAGGTAATCTATTCAACATGTAATAGCAAAATCAAGGTTATCAAAAGGCCAGGTTTCAGTAATGGTAAATTAATGTAACTCTTTATGGCTTTGTAAATAATACTTATTAAAATATAATCAATACTCAATTTGATTAAGTTTATTGGCGATTTGGCGTAGAGAGTGTTGCCCTAGTGGCTCCAGCGTGCGACTCTCATCCCTGAGGTCGTAGGTTCGATTCCGGCTGTGCTTACTAATGGACTTTCTTTCTCTGTGCACATTTAATATTCGCTCGAACAGCGAAGGAAAACATCGTAAGGAAACCAGCTTGCTCTAGAAACAAAAAATCGACGGCGTGTTTTAGGCACAGGATGCTGATCATCTACTTGCCTATGATTTGACAAATGATCATGAAACAGATACAGAAATCTGAGGCCCAGACCTAAACAGGTTGTAGCGCAACTGATTAATAAAAAATTGTATAGGTGATTTGGAGTCAATATTATTTATAGATTAACAATTGTATTTACCTTTGACCAACTGCGGTAGTTGTGACGGGTAAGTAGGTTCAACAGCTACTCTTAGTATCGGCACAGCCGCGTACTGAATTTCACTAAAGGGCGGACAGGCCAGACTACTACTCAAGATGGCAGTTTTTAATATGTGATCTTCTAACCCTCCAATACCTAAAAATTTATATGAATATTTATATATTATATATGTATAGGGTATCTAAAAATACAAATTTTCATTACCAAAGAGAATGTACTGTTGTTTTAAAAGCTTTCTTACCAATGATATTACCACTGACTGCCTCATCAATTTCTTCTAGTTCTCTTCCCATAAGAATATATAGCGATTTTATCCTGAAATCAATCATACTTTTTAAAATCCAATAATTATGAAATTGTTTTATGCAGAAATGCTTTCTTTTAACTGAATAATTGAATTATGTACATGATGCAAAATTAAAAAAATAAATATTTAAATCAAATTTAATTGTTTAAAATTAACTGCATTGACTGCAAAACCCCCAATAGGTTCAGTAGCTTAAACCAAGTCAACAACATATTATATTAGGTAATTTTTAAGGACATTGACCCATTGACTTTTCATCTGAGAAGAAAATTTTTAGTGTCAACAATGCGACTATAGAACAGATTCATATAAACTTACTCAGCACAAGTAATGTGTTCATCACTTTTCAAATCCTTTAATTTCTTAGTAGTATCTACTTTAAAGTCTGCTGTACTAAGTATTTTGGATGGATTATGTTTAGGTCCAAGTACATATACTTTATCACCCTTCCTTACTTTACCACTAAATATTCTAGCAAAAGCTATAAATGCTGTTTCACTTTGCTCTTCCTTTTCTTCTTTCCCCTTCTCATCTTCAGTACATTTTTCTTCTGGAGACTCTGTCTCCTTAGACATAGGGATTGCTTCAGCTTTATTAGCACTATTCTTTAGTTCTTCACGCATTTGTCTCGCTTTTTCTCTACGTAATGCCATTTCTTCAGCTGTTAAAGCCTTTGGCTTATTTTCCGGTAAAGAACTACGTTCAACACTAAACATTTTGGATACAAAAATAATTAATGGTCTATTATTACTACTATCACAGGCTAAAAAGTCCTCTTTTAATTTTTTTGTTTCATCTAGATAGGAATCAAAGTCATGTATTCGTGAACACATGAGCTTTTCAACTTTCTCTGGTAATATTTCTTTTGGTGAGGGCAATTTTGAACAGACCATATTAAGAACTGTTTGCGACAGAGGGAGCCACTGCATCATAAGAGATTGAAGTTGAACTCTGGCGTCAGTGTGTCTTAGATCTCTAGTAGTCAATTTTATACCAAGTTTCTCACAAATTCCTGGTACTTTTTCCTTATCATTCCTCAATATAATAGTTTCATAAATATTCCACAAATTATCAAAAACAAGTTGTACAAAAAGAGGTTTTTTGGCCTTTTCTTGAGCACCTTTCATAAATCGTTTTGTCTTTGAATTTAAGTAATAATCACCCCAAAGGACTTTCTTTAATAATTCTTCCTTAACACCTGAAAAACATCGTTTTTAATACACCATAGATGCAGGAAGCAATCCAGGTTAAGCCCTTCTGACTCATTGGACTCTTATAATTGGTAAATAATTATGTAATCCCAATGGTAAGAAAGTACATTTAGCATTTTTTAGCACACAATAGATATTAATTATTGTAAGCTTCATATTTAAAATGTACAAACCTAATTTGTCTGAAAATAGCTTTGCAAATGTATGTGTTGTAAAGCCCCATCCATCAATTGCGCTTGCAAATACAACATTGCCTTGGTCAGGTGAAAAATATAGGTTTGAGTCATCAGCTTCCTCCAATGCAGATGTCCAGTCATAAAAGTTTTGATCGTCTTTAGAAGGCAGATTGACTTGCTGAAAATTAAATGATAAAGAACCCAACTACAACAAAATTACAGTTTGTGCAGCAAATATTGTTATAGTTGACTAAGATTGGTATATATTTTACAACAGATAGGGTGCACATTATAGATAGGAAAACCCATAGAATGTGATATAGGCATAAAAACAGGAGAGTTGGTGTTCCACATTTATCATTTTTAAATATTTCTTTCAAATGACAATATTATTTAAACAGATAAATAAATATCATACCAGCTTATCTATAGTATTTTCTTCATTTTCCAATACTTCGGATGCAAACAGCTCCCCCGTGACTGCATTTACTTGTTCCAAAACTTGTGTTATGTGCACATAGGCATCAAGTGCCGTCATTCTCATTTCCACTATAAGCCTATCAATCTTGTTAAGCACAAGAACAGGCTTTATATTTTCAGAATAAGCTTGTTTCAGTACTAGCCTTGTTTGGGGACAGACACCTTCAACAACATCCACCTGAAATTGACACAACCAATTAAAAGTATTATGCAATTTATATGAAAGTGGTTCTTTTTCATTTTAATGTTCAACCAAAGTAGTTTTATCATGATGTTATATGCCTTGAGTAATTAACATAGATTATCTAACACAAAAAACTTTTGAACTCGAAACAGCACTTGAGATTAGTGCATTTAACCAAAATACTAGGATTCTGAACTTTTGCCTGTTACCAAATTTGACATATGACTGCAAAACTTGGAAATTTGAAAAAGTGAGAAATGATGTTAAGCCTGCTCAATTTAATAAATTAGATAAGATATTATGTCACACAAAAACAACTAAAGCCTTGAGGTATCTATCTACAAAGGCTGAAATGAACAGGACACAAACATAGGCTTACTAACCTGAGGTAGTATAAAGGCAACTGTGGAAGGGCCATTAAGAAATATGAGGTAGATGGAGACCACTGAATCATTGGGGAGACAAAGTCAAAAGACTAGCTGGCCCAAAATGGAGGCAAATTTTACACAACTTCGTCGGTGCCAAATAAGATTAGAAGTAAGACAGAATTGATAAAGTAATGTTAATTGAAGTAGGATCAAATTTATTATTATCATTAGATTAATATAGTCACAGTCAAGTTAGAAAATAACTTATATGGAAAGGTTAGAGTATATAGATTTTTTGTTTTATGGATTTTCTTTATTTTTATACTGAATTAAAAATGCAATATGTGATGGTTACTTACCACAACAATTGCGCCGTCACATAATCGGACTGCTGTGGATACTTCACTTGAAAAATCAATGTGTCCTGGTGAATCTATCAAATTTACAAGATATTCATTGCTATCCAATGCATGGTAGAGAGCAATACTGCTGCATTTCATAGTGATACCACGTTCTTGTTCATCAGGCCTACTATCCATATAACGAAGCTTACCGGACATTCTCTGAGATATAATACCATTGCTGGATATCAATGAATCAGCTAGTGTTGTTTTCCCATGGTCCACGTGTGCTACAATACATATATTCCGAATATTTGAAGGTTTGTTTTGAAGCTCTAACAACTTCTTTGAATCAACAAGCCGCATGTTGAGATAAGTTCGTAAAAATTCACGTGCGAAACTTCAAATTGATTAAGCAATGTTCTATTAGTAATTTGACACTCAAAATACTTTAACTGGTACAATAATCTTCTAAATAAAAATTGCACAACGTGAGCGAAACATATATTTTGAAATATTTGACTTGTAACTTGTAAGTGTGTAGAATGTTGATTAGTCAAGTTTCGAAATTCAATGTTTCATAACATGAGTCAGTTGTCATTGTCAAATGTCAGTTTCTCCCTACGTTTAGAAATGTGTCGCAAGGGCTGCACGTATGGAGTATAACTGTGAAATGTTACAATAGATGGCGCGACTCAACTTCACAGTATTTTTCAAATGGCAATATAACTAGGAAAGTATTAAATAACTACAAATAATAGTGGTAAGTAAGTACTCGCGTCATTAAATTTTTTTTCGATTAAAGTATCTTTTGTACTTGTTTACTTTTTATGTATACCGGAAATACAAAGTTTTACCTATAACTGAAATAAAAAGGAAACTTAATGGAAATAAAACTGGATTATTAAAAATTTTCATCCATTTTGTCCGTAGATTAAGTTACTTAATACCTTGAAAACGCCCGCGTCGGATTAAGGACCTATTCTCATTATTCATTTAGAAGGAAACTTCGTTGGATACGCTATAATTTATTTACTTAGGTGCACTTACTATAGAGTTTAGTTTTAGTGGTTTAGCCTTTAAAGTTAGTACATTAGTTCTAGCCAAACTAAATATGACATAGTCTGTAGCAATATGATCCCTATATTGTGTAGTACGGCAATTATGTACATAAAAAAATTATTTTGAAGAGTAAATTATTGAGCAATTTTACGAATTAAAATAAATATGTATAATAGATACTGCAATCTTAATACATAAAACCAATTTTTTGTGTTATTATTATAATAATGTTCACTACGCACTACTTATATTATAATATTTATTTCGTATTTATTGTACTACTTTCATAAAATCTTTAACCAGGTAATCTGTAGCACAACATTCATTGACTGTTAAGGCTGTACGAAATTCGCTGGGTCAGCTAGTACATATTATTAAATTTAATTAAACTATTGATACATTTTAGTTATATTAAATGATTATTTAACCGTCTTCAAGAAATACCCAAAGGAGGAGGTTTACAATTCACGTATATTTTTTTATGTAACTAAAGGTACCTTTATGTAAAATTAACATAAGTTCAGACGGTAAAAGAAAAATATTGTTGGATATGTGTGTTAGATACATAGGGTTGACCAGGTTTCTTCCTACAAATTATATGACGCCCCATCATGGGACATAAATACGAAGTTTCTACAATCACCTACTAAAGTGATAACTTCCATCTATAAGCAGCGAGCTTCTCATGAGAACAGCTTGTATGTAAATAGGGTACTTAACCTACTAAAATTCTCAAACACAGCTATTAATTTTAATTCTAGATCAAGTTCACAGTAAAGGTGAATATAACCTTGTCGCGGTCATGAAGCTCAACCTTTTATTTGACATAATAATATTCTGTAGAGCAGTGTTGGCCTAGTGGTTTCAACATGCAACTCTCACCCCTGAGATCGTAGAGTTGATCTCCTTCATGTCCTTCTGTCCGGCATGTGTACATTTCACACTTGCACATACGGTGAAGAAATGAAACGAATTGCCTTAGACTCAAAAAGTCTACGGCGTGTGTCAGGCTCTATAGGCTGATCCCCTTTTTGTCTATTAAGAAAAATAAATCACGACACATACAGAAATATGATGCCCAGACCTAAAAGGTCTAAGAGCTACTAGTTTTTTTTAATAATATGTTGTACCATTGTAAAACTCTTAGTAAAATACACCAAAAATAAAAAAAAAATAATAACTAACAATTTGAATAATAAAAATATATTAATATTACTTTTTTGAACCGCATCAAAATTTGTACAGAAGATGTTTGTATCCTTATACGAAAGTCAAATTGGCAAGTCATATTTTTTACAGTTTTTTTTTACTCAGGTGCCACCGTTATTTGTATTTATTAACCTTTTTGTGTTTTATTTAATAGATTATTTATCTTTACCATCATCATTATGCATCTATTAATTGTAAGAAAAATCTAATTATATTCTAAAAGAATACCCAGCAATAAAGAAATCAAGCCATAATATATTCCTTTGTTACGAAGAAAGAAAAGCGCCTTATTAGTAAGCGGCGTTCAATGATGCTGTTTCAGTTTAAAGTTTTCTCGGTATTCAGGCTAAGTTTTCTTTTTATTCGATGTACAACAGTATCGAGCCCGTAGCCTCTACGATGCATCATTACGAAGTTTTGCGCCACTCTTTTCTTGCTGCATGAATATTCATTGGAACGTCGTTAATGTCGGCTACTTGAGTTTGGGTTCCCCGAGTCCCTCTTAACTGTACTCAACAGAAAAAGCGTAATTTTGCAGGGCTCGACGTAACCTTGACTCAAACTTCATTAACTATGCTAAATGTTGTAATTAAAAAATGGAATCTCGGCTCGATCGCAGCCTTTTTGGAGCGTTGTTTTTAACAATATGGCAATAAATCTTGTCGAACAAACTTTTACATCGCAGCGATAAAACTACATTATCAAGAACTAGAAGGCGGTAAATAAACAAGTGGAAGGGGAAGCAATTTTTCCACGGAATACCATTATTCTTACCACGTCTGGCGCGCAATTAGTTCGGGCGTTGAGTTCTTTGTATGGTGAGTTTCAATTATAACCAACGATTAGAACACATTTTCAAATTCCTTTATGATTGTAATTTAATGATGTTGATAAATATTTAATAGACATACTAGCGGACCCAACAGGCTTTGTCCTGTACGCACGTCTTAAATAAAACACACGCACAGAAGATTTGTATACTGAGTTATAGTATGTCTTACGCATAATTTGTAGTCTGAGAATTATTGTGTTGTAAGGCAACATATTTTGGGTTGGGATTACATACTTACAACCATATGTGAAATAGACACAAAAATGTGTCTGTTTCACAACGAAAACGATGTTACAGCTAATAAAATCTATTTCATATTTTAGCGTAATAAATCCTTATCACCAAAAATTAACTCACATTTAAAACTTTCAGTTTTGAATTGGTGGCATTTAAATGAAGTAACTGTAAAACTTACGAATTGTTCGCAGAATGTTCGCTTCCATACCTCAGTCCATCACAACCTTTATCTAACCACTATTGCTGCGGTTTCCTTGATATCGCTTAATGCAGAAGGCGTGTCTAATTTAACATCAAGTGTTTACTAAAAGCTTTTACCTTTTCAATACTATTGAGGATTGAATAAACTGTAACCTAGTTAATCGTGTGATTAGTAATTCCCTTTAGTTGGCATATACGAACGGGACGAACCAGATTTATTTTAATTAATACGACAGTAAATGTACGGAGCGTATCATTAACAAAATACGTGATATTTAGCCATATTATGTTTCTGAGTGATTTTCGTAATTAATTTCGGCGCGGTTAAATACGTATTCGGATTTTAAATTGTATTAAAAATTTATGCGATCACATTAATTCATTTGGACAGAATTAAAAGGACGTTTACACTTACAGTTCAAAGTAAAGTGGCAATAATGATCATTACATTTTTGGTTAGCTTTTATAATCACGAAGGCCATAGACAAGCCGCAGACAGAGATTTAAGTTTTATCAGCTTTGATACCTATTGACTCTTCTTTGCCTTTAAGTTGATTCACAATTATAATAAAAGTTTACATGCGATCCAAAAAGATTTTAGTAACAAGTACGTTTTCCATAGATAATTTAGTAATCTAGATGAACTATAGTTTTAGGGGTTTCATTCAGTTAGCGAAATTTGTAATGTCAGTTTCTAACAGTCTAATCGCGTTAATTTTTCATAGAATTTGTATATTTTATAATAGTACTATTCTCATGGAGCACTGCTCACATTCTCCATACTATTTATTGTTATACTATACACATTATCCGTAGTAGTAGGGTGAACTCAGTTTCCGCACTTAGACATTTTTTTCCGTTGTACGTTATTATACTTAGTATTAATATAGGTTTAAGATTAAAAAAATATCTATGAAACACACGCAGATAGGCGTATGCTCTGGGGCACTGGACTTCATTCAAATTTTGTTACGCTTAGTGCATTTGATGTTAAAAAGATATATGACTTTGAAACTTTTGTGAGTGATTATTTTATGATCCTGAATTTACTTAAGCACAGTCCTCACTAATCACGTAAAAGTTTTGAGTGGTCTGAAGTTGATGAATGTACGAAAGCAGTTTTTCTTGAGAAGAATTCTTTCAGAAGTTAGTGGTAATAATTTAAGCGTCAAAACTTTCATACATTTGAAAACCTAATAAATCTATGGATGGCGTAATTTTCAATAACAATTATAAATATAATTATATGACTGAATTTTCTATATTAAATTTTTTTAAGTTACATGCTCCTTAGTATGGTAAACAACTATCATATTTTTTCGAGAATAGTTCTCGTAATATATGAATTATTAAATTTGAAGTAGATTATCGTGAGTTTGATGAAAGGAACAAAACAACATATACGATCAAGGAATTGTTTTTATTTAATGCATGAAATTGTGGGTTTTAAATTTTCGGTGGTAGATTATTTCATAAAAGGAAAAATATATCACTAGACGCATGCCTGCCACCTCTGTATATAACATTTTTTATAGAATAAACACTAAAAATGTTTTCTCTTAAAAATACAATATCCAAATGTAAGTGTACTTTGCTTAAAATCCAAGAACAAAATGCGGGTGTTAACAAAGTGCCAGCTCGAGAAACACGTGTTAAGCTATACTTGAGGCAAAAAGATAATTCCACGGTCGTTAGATTCACGGCACTGTGATAAAAAGCTGTATAAGCGTTACTGCAGCGCACTACCGCATCACTAACTCGACGCCAATTAAGTGTTTTTTAACGAACTAATTACAAATGCGGGCCTAAGTGCATACTTTAATTG